AAGATTGAGGAGTTGGAGACGAGTAGGAAGAATCTGGAGGTCCTGAGGAAGAAGTGTGAGACTTTTGAGAACGAGAATGAGGAGCTTTCGAGTAATCTCATCGAGAAGATTGAGGAGTACGAGGGGATCATCAAGGGTCTCAAGGATGAATTGTCGGTGAAACGGGATTGCAGGAAGTGTGGACACCTGGCTGAGCTGATAGAGGCGCGAAGGACTTTGAAGTTGGAGGTGAAATCAGCTGATAAAAAACTGACGGATTTGAAGGAAGAGTTTGAGAAAAAATCGGCTAATGTCGAGAAACTGCAGACGAAGGCGAAGGAGAATGTTAATTTGAGCATTTCTGGACTCTTGGATGATACGATTTTCAATGGGAGCATTCTGGAGGGCCAGGATGGAGTTGATACTGTTTCTTACGTCGAGGAGAAAGTGCAGAAGCTCCACAGCGAGCTCGAGGGCCTGAGGGCTAATTATGACAGCCTGACGGTGCTTTATGAACAGAAGTGCCAGGAGATTGAGACTCTCAGTGATAAGAAAATTGACAAGATCAGTGAGGAAGTGCAGAGGCATCGCGATGATCTGCAGAAGTTCAAGAAGTGTATCAACAATGTTAGCAATGCTCTGGAGAAGTTTAAGGATGAGAAGTCGTTAGTTGAGACTGAGATGGAAGAGCTTAAGCAGAAGAATATGTGTCTGATGGAGCAGGTGAAGAGTGGAGAGGAGAAAATCCTCCAGGAGTCCAGGACGTCTGGAGACACCATTGAGACACTCCAGAGGACTGTAAATACCCTGACTGAAGACTTGAATAATTCTAAAGAAGAAAATTCTCGTCTTATTAATGAGATTTCTTCATTGAAGTCAACTTTTTCACCAGAGAAGTTTAAAGATGAGAAGAAGTGGCTTGAGGCTGAGATAGAAGATCTAAAGGAGAAGAACAGTTGTCTGATAGAACAAGTGAGGAGTGCAGAGGAGAAAACCCTCCAGGAGTCCAGGACCTCTGGAGATACCATCGAGACACTCCAGAAGGCTGTAAATACTCTGACTGAAGACTTGAATAATTCCAAAGAAGAAAATTCTCGTCTTATCAATGAGATTTCTTCATTGAAGTCGACTTTCTCACCAGAGAAGTTTGAAGATGAGAAGAAATTGCTTGAGGCTGAGATGGAGGATCTGAAGGAGAAGAACAACTGTTTAATGGAACAGGTGAAGAGTGCAGAGGAGAAAATCCTCCAGGAGTCCAGGACCTCTGGAGATACCATCGAGACACTCCAGAAGGCTGTAAATACCCTAACTGAAGACCTGAATAATTCTAAAGAAGAAAATTCTCGTCTTATCAATGAGATTTCTTCATTGAAGTCGACTTTCTCACCAGAAAAGTTTGAAGATGAGAAGAAGTGGCTTGAGGCTGAAATAGAGGACCTGAAGGAGAAGAACAACTGTTTGATGGAACAGATGAAGACTGCAGAGGAGAAAAGCCTCCAGGAGTCTAGGACCTCGGGAGAAACCATCGAGACACTCCAGAAGGCTGTAAATACCCTGACTGAAGACTTGAATAATTCCAAAGAAGAAAATTCTCGTCTTATCGATGAGATTTCTTCATTGAAGTCGAATTTCTCACCAGAGACGTTTGAAGATGAGAAGAAAATGCTTGAGGCTGAGACAGAAGACCTGAAGGCGAAGAACAGCTGTCTGATGGAACAGGTGAGGAGTGCTGAGGAGAAAATCCTCCAGGAGTCCAGGACCTCTGGAGAAACCATCGAGACACTCCAGAAGGTTATAAATACCCTGACTGACGACTTGAATAATTCCAAAGAAGAAAATTCTCGTCTAATCAATGAAATTTCTTCATTGAAGTCGACTCTCTCCCAACACGAAGGCCAGAATCATTCCCCAGGTCTTGAAGAACTAGACAAGGCCAAATCCTACTTAATGAAAGAGATCTCCTGTCTGCAATCCTCCCAGAAACTCGAGGAATCCTCCAAGATAATCGACCTGATAAAAATCCTAATCTCCACAATAATGACAAAAGAAAAAGAAATAATCGCCTCGATCCACTCGACTCACAAGAGAGAAAAGATCAAACTGGAGGAGGAGAAGAAACAGCTGGTGGACGCTGAGAAAAGATCCACCCTCTGGGCTAAAGAATTAGAAGGCGACGTGGAAAAACTCCAGCACGATCTCTCAACGCAGGAGTCCAGGAGGTCCTCCCTGGAGGAGGAAATATCTCATCTAAAGAACATCCTGAAAGAAATGAACCACGAGAAGAACTTACAGGACGAGAAGGTGCGAGTCATGGAGGCAGACTACGTGACTCTGCATTCAGAACTCGAAAAATACACCAAGAGGTCCTCCCTGGACGGATCCAAGTCCCCGATGACGCCGGAGGAGCGCGAGAAAGTATTCACCGAAGAATTATTCAACAAGGATATCGAGCACTCGTCGAAGCTCCATCAGCTGGAAGTGGGACACAAGATCAAGGTCGAGGAGCTGGAGAACTCACTGGAGTGCCTTAAAACGAAAAATCTGGAGTTGCGTAAGAACATCGAGGGTCTGGAGGCTAGTAAAAATAATTACCAAGCTATCATCGATCTCAAGGTGATGGAACTCGAGAAATCAGTGAGTGCGATTGATCGTTTGGAGAAGGAGCTCCAGAGGGCCAATGAAACGTGTGATAATATCAAGCGAATCAGTGACAGTCACATGGGAAAAGTGGAAGAGGTTACTAAATTGCTGAAGGTCAAGTGTGATAAATTATCAGAGGTGAAGAATCAGCTGGAGTCGATGACACCGGAGTACGAGAGGCTCAAGGACGAGTCCCTGGAGAATCAGTCGAGACTGGAGAAGTACAAGACAGAGATTGAATTTTTGAGGGGTGAGAATCACAAGCAGAAGCTCATGCTGGACGAGGTGCAGGACTCATTGAAAAATGAGAAGATCAAGTCTGTGGCGCTGGAGAAACAGCTGGTAGAGAGCAGAAATTATAATCAAGTGGTGGAGGATAAGCTCAGGGATTTGACGGAGAGATTCGAGGGAATCAGGGCGGAGAATGAGAGTCTGGTGAGGAAAATCAGAAATAGCACGAGTAAATTAACAGCTGAGAGGGACATGGAGGATCTCAGGGATGAGAATGCTGGATTGAAAAATAGTCTCGAGGGTGCCAGCAACAGAATTCAGGAGCTGCAGATGCAGAAATCCCAGCTCTTGTCGGAGATCACTGATTTGAGGGCGAGAATTGCCACTTCACAAGCTCCTGTCATTGATACGAACCTTCAGACACAGCTTCAGAGCCTTCAGGCAACGAATGTCAAATTGAAGACTGAGAACCACGAGCTTGACGTAGAGATGGATCTGATGCTGACGAAAATCAGGGAACTGGAGAATGACGTGGCTCATCTCCAGGGAAAAGTCTGCGATTTGGAGGAAGAGAAGGAGTCGCAGCAGTCTGTGCACCAGGAGGTGAAGCGGAAGTATGAGAAATTGGTGCAGGACTTTGAGTGCCTGACGATCAAGTCTGAGTTGTTGACGAAGGAGAATGCAGAGATTAAATTGAAAATTGAGGGAACGAGTTATCCAAGGAGCAATAGCTCATCTAGATCAGCAAGTCCTAATCCTGGAGCGGCGTCCAGAAGAAATAAAAGGAGTGATCTCTTTAATCAGAATAGACCTCTGGAGCTTGCTCAGGAGTTCGCCGTGGCCGAGGAAAGAGAGTGCAATTGTGAGAGCTTCAGGAAAACAATTCAGAGTCTTGAGCATGAGGTGATACTTAAAAAGGGAAAGATCACGGCTCTGGAGATGAGGATCGAGGGTCTGTGCATACCGTACAAGAAGAAGTGCGATGATTACAGGGAGAATTTGGATCTTGCTAAGAGAAATATTCAGCAACTCCAGAAGGAGGTTGATAGGCTCAGGCAGGAGCAGGGGAAGAGCAGTAATTGCGAGAGGTGCAAGCACTGGAGGGATCACAGGAGAGATGCTGAGACACAGTCCATTCCAGAGATCATCACTGGATTTATGGCACCCAAGTCGGGAATTGTTGAGGACCAAGTCATGTTCGTTAAGAAAATCGAGAAATTGGAGCGGGAAAAGGGAATTCTGAAGAACCTGTGCCAATCTCGTCGTATCGAAATCCATCAATTACAAAAGAGAGTACAGGAGCTGGAGGTTCAACCGTTTTCCATCGAGGACAAACGTGATTCTGTTCTGTAAGTAAAATTTATCTTCCTACGGACGTCAGAATTTGGATTTCAATTTCCTGTCCCTTCAATCGATTTATCAAATGGATTAATATTTCTTATTCATCATTTTTCAGCTCCAATGACAATTTAGGGGACGAATCTAAGGAAAACGTGCCTTCAAACATTATGGGACGATCGTACAGACTCAACCAGTAACTAAGCTAGATCATTTAATGTCAGATTGTTTTACGAGTCAATTGTATGAATCATGTATTAATCGTATTAATCATCGTAGTATTATCTGTGTTCTAGAGAATTTATGCTAATTGTTTTATCAGCTAGTTTTTATCGAAGGGAAGTACGAAATAAAATTTCGATTATCTTTTTCAATGAAACCCCAATATTTTCTCATCAATCCCAGTCATTAGTGCTTAGAAATTTACGAATATTAGTATTTATTTATTTTAAAAGTCGATTTGTAATAAAAAGTCGTGAAAGTGATCATGAATTTTCTTTTTTATCATAGAATGATTAATTAGATCTCTAGATTAATATAAAATCGTCGACAGTAGCGCCAGCCCCTCGAAGTGAAATACAAAGTGCAAACCCGAGAAGAAAATCCTCATATTTCCACTCGAAAATAGAAATTTATTGCACGGAAATTGTTGAAAATGGAATAAAAATCCAGTGCTGAGTGATTGAGATTCGTCAATTAAATTTAATACATGCTGAGTGAAACTTCAAGACTTCTTCACCGATTTTAGGTTAGAAATAAAAGAGTGAATATGTATAGTTTCATAAAATTATGCATTCGAAGTCCGTCTGTCTATTCGAAAAATATTCTTCGACAAGAGAAAAGATTCGCAGGACACAGTAAATGGCAGAATATCAAACATGTCAAGGCGGAGAAAGACGCGGAAAAATCCCTTCTCAATGCATCTTACGTGAGAAAAATGCAGGTCGCTATTGCCGGTAATTAATTATTTCATCAATTAAAACAAGTTTTACATTTTTCCATATCTGAATTCTATCAATTTAATTTCCTTGAAATATTTCATTTGAATTATCTTTATACAAGAGTTTATATTTTACAAAATGGGAAAATCTTTTTTTATTCATGTAGAGGGAAAAAGTCACAAGCCCATAGAAAATCTGAAACTAGCCCAAATAATGGAAGAGGCAAAGAAGAAATGTGTGCCAGCTGCAACGATAGCTGGAGTCCTGGAACGAGCAGAAAAATCGAAGACAAAATCGCGAGCAGAACTCCTGGACTTCAGAGGCCCCGGGGGTTCTATATTCGTCATAAAAATTCTCTCCGACAACATACCATTAATAAAAAATCTACTGAACACAGTTTTCCGTAAGAATAATTGTGTCGTCGGTGATGAAAAGCTCCGGAATGTCTTCGAGCATCGAGGAGTGGTAATAGCAGAAATACAGAAAGACCTGGACGGAGCGACAGACGACGCCATCGCCGTGGGTGCCGAAGAGGTCGAGGAGTTCGAGAACAACGGAAAATTCTACAAGGTAAATTGAAATGACACCATGACCCCAAAAACAAATATTTGTTTTCCCTCAAAATGCTATTGCCAAATTATTGATTTTTGCCAGAAAAATTGTAAAAGAATTCTTAATAAAATAGTTGTTTAATGTCTTTGGCTTTTCAGTTCTACTGCAATCCAGTGGTCATCCCAAAAGTCGTCACAAAGCTCCAATCCTTGAACTACAGCGTGCAATCGGCAGACGAGGAATTTATTCCAAACGTAATCACAACTGTAGACGAAAATGATTCAAAGAAAATTGACAATTTGTACAAGAAACTCAATCAATTTGAAGAAATCGTATCGATCAACCACAACATCGACTTCAGTGACGAGCAACAGCAGGCAGCGTCCCGAAGCTAATGTTAAGTAGTAACAATAAAAAAAGACGTTTATCTCTTCAAATTATCAAATTTTACTGAAATATATTAATTACATTTCGACCACGATTCACTTTCCCCGATTTTTCGTTCTGAGAATAGAATTCTGTGCATGAAATTCATGACCAAGAATTATTTCTACAAATGTACATAATCATCAGTTCTACAAGAACTGAAATTCTCTAATTAACTGGAAGCCTTTGTAAATTTGAAATATTATAGATTATTCGAGTGACAGGCATTCCTTCCATTTCACAAATTGATAATCACTAACACTTAAAACTCACTAAATTCTCCTCTGAATTCTCGAATTAATTACGCAATTAAATCCCGATGTTTACCACTCTTACACTAATTAACACTCCATTCAAATTCCCGGTCACATCTGCAGTCCATATCCCTTGATGTCATTAATATTGGATCCCTGAAACTGCAAGACTGGGCTCTTCATGAAAAGAGATTTGAGTTTCCTCTTGCGTCTATCATCTGGCCCCTCCCGAGGACTAAAAAACTGTCCAGAATTATTCTGCTGGAGTACATCGACCTTCACCTCCTGCCCCAGCTCCAATTTTTTCTCCCCCTTGTTAATTTCCCCCTGCCCTGCAAAATTTTCTTTAAAATTCTGGGAATTTCCCTCTCCTCCCCTCTTCCGGCTCTTTTTCCTGGGAATGTGTTCAGTTGCCTCCTCCCCCTTGCCCTCCTCCTCAGGAATTTCCTCGATAGTCTCCAGATTAGAAATTCGTCTCTTCCTCTTCCTCAGACTCTTTTGACTCTTCCTCTCGTTCTCCTCATTGTCAATAATTTCCTCACTGACATCCTCTTCCTCGAGAACAGGATTCACGTACCCCGTCACTTCCTTTTTTATTTTTTTCTTTTTCAATTTTTCATTGTCGACCTCGAACTTATCCAATTTTCGCTTGGTTTTCTTCTTTTTCTTGGATAAATCGGTGTTGTACTCGATTTCATCGTTGAATGTCACTCTTTTCTTGTTGGAACACTCGTCAGAGAGGTCCAGGGCATCATTGGAGACTCCAGGTTGTCTGGAAACCTCAAAATTGCTCGAGAAACTAGGATTTTCTTCGATTTTCGAGTCTAAATTGAGAGCTGGATTGATAAAACCCTCGAAATTATCTGTTTTCCTTTTCTTCGTCTTCTTCAGGCCCTGAGAGTTAATTCCCACCTCCACTGGAGTAGTTTCAGGCTCTGGAGACTCCAGATCAAGTCCTGGATTTTCAAAAACAAATTTCTGGGGTTCAGAGTGATTTTTCTCGTGCTCGTGATTTTTTTTCTTCGATTTTTTCGACTTCTTTGGAGTCTCTGAGGGAATTTCAGAGGCTAGAGACTCCTGGTCCAGAACTGGAGGCTCAGTAATTGATGTTTCAGGCTTTTCTTGGGACTCAGATGAGGATTTTTCGACATCAGGATTTTTTTTTGAAAGTTTCTTGGATTTTTTTGGTGTCTCTGGGGTCGAAGGGCCTGGACACTCCAGGGGGAGTCCTGGAGGCCTTAGGAAAGTTCTCGGGGGCTTTTTTGGAGGCTCCAGAGAATTTAGCGAAGGAATCGCAGGGGGAGGGCTCTGCGGAATGCACTCCACTGGCTCCATCTCCTTTTTCTTCTTTTTTTTCGACTTTTTGGGAGAAGAGGATTCCGGGACTTCCACGGAATTCTCTGGAGTCTCTTGGATTTGCAAGGTTTCAGAGTTTGATTTTTCCTTTTTCTTCTTTTTCTTCGATTTCCTTTCCTCAGTTCTCCCTAATTTCCCTACCGGAATATTATTTGAAGTCTCAGAATAATTTTCGCTTTCAGTTTTCCCTTTCTTTTCAGACCTTTCTCGATCTGGAGAGTGAAATTCTAGTTTCTGATTGACAGAATCGTCTGATGCTTTCAATTTTTTCGATCTGTGCTGAATTTCATCAGTTTTCAACGACGAATTTGGAGTTTCAACGTAAAACTCAGATTTACGTTTCATTGGTGTTTTATTTTCGACAGGTTCGTGATTTAATTTTGATTTCTCCAGAGAAAATATCGAAGCTATCGATGGAGACGAGAAACCAAATCCCACGTACCTTTCGGATTCACTCTCAGACGATTTTTCTTCGTCTCTTTGCGATTTTTTTGGAGTAAGCTGGAAATTTGGGAATTTAGATTTAAAGTAATCACTCATACTGCCACCCTTGACTGTGAGGACTCCCCCAGTGGTGTCCGTTGCACCGATCGGTGTTGGAGGTTCCGAGGAAGAGGCATCGAGGACTTCAGGGACTTTGGGGGCCTCTTCGAGGTCTCTCTTCCCGAAAATATTCGCTAGGTCTTTGGTGCTGTATTTATTCACATCTTTTCCACGAGTGAATTTCTGGTAACTGTAAAATAAATCAATTCCATTCATTTTTCTTAGATAAAATTATACATTTCGCTTATACTCCTGGATTTGACGAAAATTAATCAAAGATTGAATGAAAAATAATGAAACTAATTAAATTGAAGTAAATTAGAAGTAAATTGAGAAATTGATAATCAAGGGATAAATGTTGATGAGTGATTCGTTTAATTGAGTTCAATTTTAGTTCAATTAAATTTGGATTAAATACGTACTGCACTCGAGCTCGACTCTGTTTTGATTTCATCTCCAGAGACTTTCCGCTGAGATCTGTGGACTTTTTAATCTCCTTAGGAGCTTCTTCAGAGTTTTCAGTTCCTGTCTGCAATTTCTGCAGGAGATCGTTAAAATTCTCCTGGTGCTCCGTCCAGTATTTGTCTTGATCGTCTTTCGAGTAGCCAATGCCTAATTAATTTTTTCCAATTAAAATTCAATACTCCAATATTTAATCCATGGATAATAAATAGAATGGAATGAGACGAGTAATTCTTTATGGAATATTTAAAATACATTGAGGGGAGAAATGAGGCCACAATTTTCCAGTCTCACCTGCCAGGGAAATGATACGATGGAGATAAGCAAAATTGAGGTGTGGAAATACTCACCACCTGCATCATCCTTGAATTTAACCCTCACATGCTCGATCATGCCTTGCTCATGGGCCCCAAGGCCCTTTCCACTCGTCCAGCCCATTTTTTCCAACATTTTCTGACCGAATTTATTGGAATCTGAAAATTAAATGAAACAAATACAATTTTTTTAATTAAAAACAGTGAATTCCGAGCACAAAAAAAACATTAATCTAAGATAAAAAGTTGATTTAATCCCCAAAACTCCCAAATAAAAATGTTTAAACCCCAGAAAATAATTTCTTCTAATAAATAATCCAGAGGTAAAGGGAGCGAGCCATAGATTCATGGATTACAATGTAAAATCGATTAAGGGAAAGCCACAGCAGACGAAAACACCAGGTGCATCTAATGGGTGACAGAGAAAACGACAAACCCTCGCTCCAGTGTTTTCCCCGAGGATTGAGCGTCCATTTCTGCTTCCTCTTGGGTTCTGCAAGCATCGCCATGGCTCAATTCTTCTATTCCCCAGTTATCCAGCGGTATTCCTCCACAAATTGATATCTCCTACGACAATAACACATTCACTCCTGCTCGTGGACTTCTATTATTTATTTATACCGTGTATTTACCGCGGAAAACTCCGAAAATTGTGTGACAACGAGTGAGACACGTGCTCAGCTGTTCTCGGCGCGGGAGAACTGCAGGGAGTGGGAAATTTCGGAGAAATTAGTTCCCGCCAAGTGGCGCTGACGTTTGAATTTGAACAATTATCCCTCATCATTATTATTTGTTTATTTAAAAAATTATAACAGAGCGCGAATTATATAAATATTGTGGACAGATTTTCATTCAAATTGACGGGATAGTAATTAATACAGTTAAATATTTTTCCCCAAATATAATTCTCTATATAGTACATAGGGAAATCTTTATATTTAATAATCAAAGAAAATGTTTGCAATATTAATTAAATGAATGATTGAATGATTAATCGATTAATTGATGATTTCATATTATTTTTTTTGCAAAATGCATATATTTATATAAATGGATATATTGGACATTATATACTTGAATAAATAAATACCTCTCGATTTAATGTACCCAGCCCGACAATTTCCAACCGTTCCTGAGCCTCGACAACCTTGTCCTCTCCAAACAGATCAATAAACCCCCAATCATTCATCACCACCGGACATTGAATCAATAGACTGCACTCGCAAAAATTAAATATCGAATCTTCCAACGCCTCGAGGAACTCAGAGAGATCCCCAAGCACCAGTCTAATCATGAATTACAAAGTAGATCCCTCGAGAGTCAACCTATTCCTCTTCAAAACGATTCAAATAATCCTGTCCCTTCTAGGCCTCTCACCCCAAAGACTCATAATCCAAGTGTTATCCTCACCAAAATCCGATTTCTCCCTCAAGTTCTCGTGTTCAAGACAGGGATCCATGTACAATATCGTATTGATAATAATCTTAATCATGGCATCCATTATGATTTACCCAGGAGTAATAGACGATCCAGTTAACTCGACATTACTTCTGCGATTCAACATGATACTAACGATCATTGGAAATCTATTCGCCTCGATAACGATTCTGGTTCATTGTCTGTATCAGCGAAGTGTTGTAAGCACTGGAAATCAATTGAGTGCCTTCAACCGAAAATTTCCAGTCGATTTCAGTCTCCAGCATGTCAGCAAATTGCGAAATCTCCATTTCTTCGTCGTAATCGTCTGCTTCTGGAGCTGTTGCGTGCGAGTCATCACGTCATCGTTTCGTCTGTACGTCCTCTTCTCGACAATTTCCTTCGTGGTTTCTCTCTTCATTTCCAGTTCAGGTATCCTGCAGTATTCATCAGTCATCGAAGTCCTCAGGGAGATCGCCAAAGGCGTCAATGAAGCCCTCCAGGACATGGAGAAATGCTCGATGATGTCTGATGAACTCCCGGTGCTCAGTCACTTCGAGAACAAACGAATTCTTCAGCATTTCGGAATGATCAGGAGAGCTCGTAATGCCTTGTTCAAGGTGTCGGGGAAAATCTGTCAGTTTTATGGAGTACCGATTCTTCTGAATGTCTTTTATAATTGTTGCTGCTGCGTTGATTCTCTCTACTTCATTATTGATCAGTACATTATTGAGGGCCAATTTGATTCGACACTCCACTTCTTGGGTGGTAGTGTTTGGATCGTCCTGGCTGTTTATCCCATCGTTATCTTGACCGAAACCGTCAAGGGGTTCAATGCAGAGGTGATGTATCATCCAGAATTAATTCAATTTCAATTACAAATTTTTCCCTAATCATCCAGATTTTTTCTCTACGTCAAATTACAAAACTAAAATTAAAATAGTGAAAAATATTTTATAAAAAACTCGACATTCAATCAATTTGTGGTCTTCTTCCTTAATTTTCTCTTTGTACAATCAATTCTGGAATTAATTGTCATAAATCGCTGCGAATGATAATCAAAATCTTTTCGATTCCAAAAAAATATCAATATAGAATCAATTATTTGAGAATTGACGGATTTTTTCGGGGATCGATTGTCCGTAGGATGAACTCCAAACTCTTTGATATCAATTTTCGCAGATGGAGAGGACAGCTGAGGTAGCATATGACGTCAAAGAAAGCCACGCTGGAAATAAAGTAATTGGGACTGAGGTATTGAAAAAATTACCCTTTTCTCAATTTTTTATAAAAAAACTTGTCATTTCCACTCCAATCTAGACGATAATAAAAAATAATTATTAAATGATTTTTTAATTTTTCTATTGTTAATTGAATGATTAATGTTAAATTAATTATTTCAGCTGAACGAATTTGCTGTTGAATTATTGCACAAGAAAGTTGTGTTCACTGCTCATGGATTCTTCCCACTGGATTGCACTCTACTCTACTCTGTGAGAAAATCTCATGTTTATTTAATTCCCAAGAACTAATACCGATTTTTTATAAAGATTTTTGGAATGATCGTCACTTACCTCATCATTCTCCTGCAGTTCAGCCCCAAATGGTGAATTACAGTAATTATTATCATAATCTACTTGACAGACTCTTCACTATTTTAATCCTCAATATAAAATCAATAAAAAACCGTCAGCGAAATGATCTATTCAATTTTTCCATTGCATTCTATTACTAGAATTAAAAAAAACGAATTATAAAGAAGAATTGTAAAACTTCAATTACAGAATAAATCTGTGATATCAAAAAAATTAATTGAATTGCAATTAAAATATTTATTTCTCCCACTTAAGTTCGAGGTCTTGAATTAAATGAAAATGGCTTTAAGGCTCGGGTGGATTATCTAGAAAAGATAATTTACTCCGAAATTCAGATTCCTAATTACTTTGGGAATTAATCGGTTTTTTCAATAATTGTTAGCTAACGTTCTAGCGGTTGTCAACAACTAGGCCGCTAGCTAACAATTATCGGAAAAAACGATTAATTGAGGGAGTAATTAAAAGTCCCAATTTTGGAGTAAATTATCTTTTCCAGACAGTCCATCCGGGGCTTAATTACATAATTGAAATTATCATTTCTCAAATTTATTATCCATTAATAGTGTACACCTTTCAAGATAAACTGTAAACCGAAATTATCATTTTATCAGTTCTCACAGATGATAACTCAAGATCGATGAGAAAACTGGAGACTAAGGAGACTAGGGATAAATTCTACGGTAGCTATTGATTTGAATGATGTCAATGGATGAATGAGAATGATTTATTCTTTAACATGAGACCGATTCATTCCAGTGAATTCCGCTAATGAATCATCTAAATTTAGTCCAAAGGTCGAGGACACGGCAGATGTACTGTAAACAATCGGCTGCCCCTCGCGGTTCTGTCAGTTTCATTATCAAATACTTGAGGAGTTAGTGGGAGAGATAACAAAGAGAAGGGATTCCTCGTGGTGTCATAAAATTAGTGGTCTTCTTGCTTCCCCAGTGGAATAACGACTCAGGAAAAATTCGTGAGTATATTCCCTTTTTATTAAAAAATTACTCGTGATATGCACAGCATAACAATTTTTTAAAATAATCTATCAATATTTAACTTACATGGGCAATTCATTTTTTTCTCCACTAGTTTTTAGCCGATATTTCGGGATTGAAGGAACATAGCGAATTTTTCGTAAAAACATTTTTTATAGAAAAAAATCGGAGCTACAAAAAAGGTATATATGAAAATCTCGTTATCTTCCTTTGATTTCGAGATATTGGATAAAAATAACTGAGAGAAAATACACTTATCGTAGTTTAGCAATTTGCTATAGAATTAGTGTCTCTCAAGCTTGAAAAATAGGATAAAATAAAAGAAAATCCAGTAATTTCAATTTTTGAGGAAAAGATAGTTCATAGAATAATTATCAGTTGTGTCAGCTGTTTAATCGACGTTGCACGTGGTTTTACATTCGTGGGGAGAACTTGAACTTGGAAGTGGGGAGAGACATTCAGCAAAACCCGTTTGACAGTAATTCCTGGTATCGCTAGTGCACGTTTATTTATCACCGGCTGCAGTAAAAAAGTTTCGCCAAGATCCAGTTTTCCAGTAAAACTGTAAATACCACTGGATGCAGTCCGTAAATTCTCCCCAAGAAAATTCAATCGACAAATTTGGATAAGATTTTATAAACTCATAAAATGTTCAATGGGAGTTTTATTTGCAGAATAATTCGAGTTTCACTAGCATAATTATCCGAGGAATGGATGCACTCAAGCAGGGATGGTTCAGTGAGATTAATGATCTCTGGCCCGGTATCTCGGTGTCCCTGGAAGTCACCAAGGTACTGCACCACGAAAAATCTCCTTATCAGGACATTCTGGTGATCGATACGTGTGTTATATTTTTACCCAAATAATTTCCAGGAAATCACCTCCAGAAACTGATATTTTTTCTTATTTATTTTACCCAGGAAAGCCCACGGAAAAACTCTAGTTCTCGATGGAATAATCCAATGCACTGAGCACGACGAATTTTCCTATCAAGAGATGATTTCCTTCCTGCCACTCTGCAGTCATCCAGATCCTAAAAATGTGAGTAATATTTATGTTGTTGAATGTTTCAATAATAAAATTTAATTACATCTATATCGAATCATTATAAATCCAAAGGAAACGTCAGACATAAGTTGATTGATTGTTTGATTGTTTCGTCAAGGGAAATTGAATTTTGTTTCCTCTGAAGATGGAAATCCTCTCCACAGGTGCTGATTGTTGGTGGAGGTGATGGTGGTGTCGCCAGAGAAGTGGTGAAACATCCAGGGGTTCATAGAGTTGTTCAAGTAGAAATCGATGCTGCAGTTCTATCAGTGGCGAGGACTTATCTTCCCTTCATGGCAGCTGGCCTAGACGATCCCAAACTTACTGTCAACGTTGGAGATGGCTTTGAATTCATGAAGCAACACAGGGGAGAATTCGACATCATTATAACAGACAGCAGTGATCCAGTTGGTAAGCAAAACCCCAGTTATTCAATTCAATAAATACCTCGAAACTGTACGCCATAATTAACTGACTAATTAATTGTATAACGAATTATTTGGCATTGAAATCCACCATTTGCAATTAATCGCGATAAATATTTGTTATTCATTCATTCATTTATTTGTGATATATCGAATGTTTTATGGATTAATGAACATGTGCATTGATTTGTTCGGAATTAATTAGTTTTTCAATTTTTTTGTTTCGATGGAGATTTGAAATTTGACGTGCGATTTTAATAATTTGAAGGGCCTGCTGAGTGTCTCTTCCAAGAATCTTACTTCGCTCTGATGAAGGCAGCACTGAAATCCGATGGAATCATCTGCAGTCAAGCAGGCACAGCATGGGCTAATCTGGATCACGTCACTAAGACTCTCAATCACTGTCGAACAGTCTATCCAGTCACTGCTTATGGAATTGCAGCAGTACCCACTTATCCCACTGGACAAATTGGATTTGTCCTCGGAAGTCTCGATCCTGTACGAATTTTTCCAAATATTCTAATAAAATATATTCTATTCTCCATAAATTATCTCAAGACACAATTACGTTGCATCTTTAAACAATATCACTGATTTATAAATTTTCCTGACTGTTCCTCGCAGGAAACGAATTTTAGAGAGCCGAAGAAGATCTTCACTGATGAAGAACTCGACAACATGAAAATAAGATACTACAACGACAGAATTCATCGTGGAGCTTTCATTCTCCCCAGATTTGTTGAGAAAGCACTTGCAGCACCTCCGGTGGTCCCCAAGGGGTCGACAGCAATTTTATGAGTAATTTTTCAACTCTTACGACTGTCTAGGGTTCAGAAATTTCGATTTTTTAATCGAATAAAAAATTAATTCCGTTGACTTGTTAAGAGTTTTTTATTTTTTCTTACTTTCTCTTTAGAAATAAAACTTCACATACCGCGAAATAACTGAATAATTGCAGTAAAAGATATTAAAAATAATATTCCAGAGTAGTGAGTAAAAGTTGATAAATATTGACAATCGTGTTATCTCAATTGATCATTTTATTTTAATAAGGCTTCATTGGCTCGTCTCTGTTACAATGTAAAAATCGTTAAAAATGATTATTTCTCCAGAACGAAATTCATACTAAATCAAGATAATAGATTAAAATTATTGAAAACAATATCTGGCTGATTAAAACTTGTGAATAAAATAAAATTCCTTTGAATTAATTACAATCATCAATTACTTTTGTATACATATGTATAATATATAATATATTATTCTTGTGGTTACCGAGGGCCAATTTCCCATCGAATAATCCCACTTTCCATCGAAAAACGAAGAAAAAAAAAATTTTTCCACTTGACAAATACGTCGTTCAATCGTTAATTAATTAATTAATAAAGCATTTTTGGTAATCACTTACTCAATTCCAAATAATTGATTAAGGCATCGAAATTTTTAATTGTGCATGTAAATTTATCCATGTGTCTTAAAGTATTACGTAAAAAATTAATAAATTGCACTTTAGTATCATTTAATCACTTGTCTAAAAAAAACCTTCAATTTTACATAAAAAATATTGCAATTAGTTCGAGATTTGTGTGTGGGTGGGAGTAGCAACAGACTCGGAAAAAAGAAGGAAAAAAAAATTAATGAATTAAAAGGAAAAAAGGAGAAAAGAAAAGTTAATAAAAATGGGAGTGTCGCCATATCAAAAGCCACTGTCTCCCGGAAAATTAATAAAATTAAATGATATGTTGCTTCTCTTGTTAATCGTCTCGCATGTGTCAACGTAATTAACATCAAACAAACGAGAAAAAAAAATAATAATTAGTTCTTCTAAACTAAAAAAGGAGAGAAACTGATTAAAATAAAATTCATCTAGAACTAAATCCCCGGGTATCGAAACTACAGAAAGCAGTTACACAAAAAATCCGCTATTGTCACAATGATTTATCGACGTATGGACGTTTTTCACTGAATTTAAATTTCAATTTTTTTTTTCTTTCAAAGGCAATTGTGTTGTAATCCTAAAAAGGCTAAATCGAAAGCACTTGAGATAGCTATCTAAGGACACTTATCTAATACTCATCTAAAAATCTTCAAATTGCATTAATTTTGTGCTCACCCTTTTGAAAATTTTCAAACTACACCCGAAAATAATCATCAGTGTACAAGGCAGTAAACGAGGTAATCCAGGGAATTCCAGAGTCCCAAAAATTTCCTCATCCTCTACTTCTCCTCAAAGCTCAAAATTTTATTTCTGCTCTCATGATGTTTCGACACAGTCATAGTGACAGTTTTTTTCTCCGTAACTTTCTGAGTGACATGTTCCTTCTGACTCTTCTGCTCGGTGGATGAGAACCTCGAGCTATCACCACCCCTAAAGCTGGACAAATCGCTTCCACTGGTGATAAACTCCTGCTCCTGAGTGCTCTCAAAATTACTAGACGAAGATGTCTGTCCAGGTATGGACGAGTACACTTTCGTGGTGATGGTCTCCACTCTGCCCCCAGGTAAAAGTTTGCTCTCAACATTGGTGTAACTCTGATTGTCCCCGGTGAACCTCTCCTCCCTGGTGCAATCCCCGAACCCCCCAATACTGGGTTTACCTCCAAAGAGCCTCGACTTATCCCCCATCCCCTGATCCCTCGCAATCCCAAAACTTGCCTTGTCCCCCACATCTCTCCTCTCTCCCCCGACAAACTTCTGCACTTCAGTTTTAAAGGTTGTCATGGGCTGTGAGAACCTCTCCCCCCCGAATCCCACCTCCTCCCTCACCCCGAACCCCTTCCTCCCACTAGAAATCTGAGGAGGAGGTGGTGGAAATGGACCCTCAAACTCTTGATTGATCTTCCTCTCAATGGAGCTGTACTGTCCCAGTGGACTATTCTCCCCAAATCCCTCCTGGTACCCCCTCTCAAACCCTGGTACCTGATATCTCTTCTCCACGACTCCATACTGCCCTTCAGTATCCCTGGGTGCCTTCATCCTCCTCTCCAGAGTGCTCTGAGTGGAATTCACCTTCTCAGGACTGACGAGATCCCTGTCCCCCACACTCTTCTCCGGGACTCGTGGCGTGGAAGTGACAAAACAGTCTGGACTCTTCCTGGTAGGATAGCCAGAGGTATAACTGTCATATCCACTCTGATCTGCATCGCAGTCAGTGTCAGAGTAATCAGATCGATTCTTGTACTTGGCCTGCCTGATTGCAGTGAGTCTTCCCCTAGCTTCCTCGAGCTGCTTCTCAATTCTCAGGACTTCAGAGCGTGCATTTATTTCCTGAGCGATTCCTCCGACCATTCTCTTATTCAGCACAAGTGATCTCTCCTCCTCTTGTTGAATTGCCTGTTGTGCAGCTCGCACCAAATTGTCAGTGGCTTTTTTGACAGCGTTTCCAGCATTCTGGAGACGTTTTGTACTCTCGGAGTCTGGGTCTGCCTTCACCTTACAGGCAACCAGAAGCTGGGCTGTGCTGGAGGCCACCTGTTTGGCGCTGGAGATGAGCTTCTCCTCGGAGGATACACCCTGAACTAGGGCATTGGCAGACTCCACGAGGCTATGAGTGGCTGCTGCCACCAGACGAGCTGCCGAGATCAGACCCTCCGACCACTGCCCATCGTCCGAGGATGTCAGAGGTGTACGTGACACCTTGCCAGTGGCAATCAATTCTCTCTGGGCTGCCGATGCAGCTTTTATCAGAGCTGATGTCGCAGCAGCGATGGATTTCGCTGCTTCCAGGATCATCTCGTCAAAGTTCATATCTTCAGAGGTTTCCTGAGAGGATAGAAAAACCCAATAATTAATCCCCAATTCAGTGATTCCATATTTCAATTAATCTCACAAAATAATTCATACGATGATTTCATACCTATTGATGATTGTGCTGCCCGTCGTGATAATATGTTTGATTCCTGGTCGATCTCTGAGTAACACAACCAAGAATATCAAACATATCTCACGAAAGTGCAACGAATGTTCGTCATCCTCGAGAAAAATGCACCAATTCGACGGAATAAAGACAAATAGAGAACGATATCTCAATTTATTACAATATAATTAAATATCTAGAGACATAAATAAGGATGTCTCACCTGAATGCTCCTTCTTGGTCTGAGACTGGCAAGTTTTTTGGCAGCTGCATCGATGCTGGCAGCTGCCCCGAGCAATTCATTCTCAGCAATGACAGTTGGATCATCAGGATCGACCCAGTCAGTGCCCTTAAGTAGCTCAGCAACAGCCACGAGTTCAGTGACACTCGTTGCAATTTTTCTTGATATCTGTGGCAACGTGTGTTTAGCATCTCCAGATCTGGAGGATATCATGAGAATGGCCTGGAGGAGTTCTCGATAATTAAGAGCGACATCGTGACCAGCTTGGAGAGTCCTCTCACGTAATTCTCTGGTCTCGGCGCAGTGGTGGGCAGCTGATTTGCAAATTGACAGCATATCGCTGATGGCTTTTCGTCCCATGTTAGCAGCAGCTATGATGTCGTCCTGTTTGCAGCTGTTTCCAGCAGCAACAGCTTTAGCTGTTGCTGTTGTTATGCTCTTGGTGCATCTGACGAGGTCCTCTGGTGTCACTGCACCCCTCTGGTAGTCGGGGGCATTTGACGCACGAATTTCCTGGCCAATTGCCTCGATCGTCGACTCCAGGGCTCTTGTCCCTCGTGTGTGCTCGTCCTCCACTGCCTTCACTGTCTTCAGGAGGGACGTCACGTTCGTCACCATCACCTGGGGACAGACAGATTTTGTCAGGGGTTTGAGGATTTTGGAAATGTAGAGATGCTGTTAGTTGGGGTTACTGTCTTTTAAATCATGAAAGCGATTTGTAAATCTCGGCTTTGAGGACAAAGAAAATTGTTAAGAATTATCGAGGGGTTTTGAGGATTTAATGGTTTCAGTACACACTCTGTTATTCAAATTCCAATTCAAAATTTCCCGCGAACGGTCAGGATTGATTGCGGGATTCCCCTGGTAATTTAATGCACCCTAACCTCTCATAAGCGTTAGATCGCACGAGACGAATGAGCAACTCAACAGCTACACCAAAAGTCTTTTTTAGAATCAAGTAAAAGATGGAATATTTAATTGTTTGTTCAGAATATTTTAAAATGGTTGTTGGGCTGTTGAGTTGAGTTTGGGAAAAGTCATTGTTGAGGAATTTTTCAGAGATTTAGATAAGCAAATGCTGTTTATTATCACAACATAAATCCCAGGTGTTTTCTGAGTGTGTACGTACCTAAATGAGAATTGATGAATTTTTAAAAATTACTTTGAGTGTAGGAGAGATCGGAAACTTCAGTTGAGACAATTTTAATGAATTTTCTTGAGTTTATTATAAGATTACAAACGGTAAGAATGAAAAAAGTGTAAAAAGCTCGTGGGAAATCCGTTAAGGTTACGATGATAACGAATAGATAATTTCACGAATGAAATGAAAGGAAATTTTCTGGATTGATGAAATAGCATTCATCTCCTTACTCTGATTTCAACTCAACAAAAATGGGGGTTTTTAAAAATGGTGTCAATTGAATTGAAGCGCGAATGCTACATGAGTAGCAGAAGATCAGACGTTCTTTCGCTAGGTTGATTGGTGTCTGAGGATGACAGAAGTCTCATGAGTTCCTCCTCCTGATCTGACACTATCCACTCAGACTCAGATCCAGTCGTATCCGCCATTGGTAAGATTTGTTGGTTCAGCTGACGCTCAACTACCTGACAGTATTCCATTACCCGTATCAATTAGAAAACCAAAAAATTCCGATATTTACGTTCATCAAAGTCCACCAAAATAATCGAAAAAATACTCGTACAACATCAAAGCGAAACAAAAATATAATGAAAAAACCTTCGACCATCTACGCATTCAAACTAAAAAGAGTCGATGAACATGGATTCAAAAAAATGAATTTAAAAATCGCAGCACACAAAAATAGAAGAGAGAAACAGATAAGAAAAAAAACATTGAAAATAAAAAATTGAAACATGATGTCATGGTGGACTTTAATATTCAGCTGTATCGTTGAATTCTTTGGACTCCAATATTCTGCTACTCAAGTTCATTAAAAATCCCATCTTGAGTTAATTTAGTTCCTCAACTTTTTGAAATGTTAATGCGAGAAAAATGTCAATTAAAGTCCACCCAAGAATAGAAAAAAATTAAAAAAACCGTTTGTTAATGGAGAAGTGTCTAAAATATTCAAATAGTTTGTAAATCACTCAAGACAGATCGAATTCTAGAATGTCATTGAAAAATCAGGCGAAATCCCAAAGAAAGACATTAAAAAACATCAAGACGATTCAAATTTCCCGCTCATTCCAGGGATTCCCCTGATAATCAAAGACAGCCTTAACCTCTCGTCAAAGCATGAAATGACGCAAGCAAAAGTTTTTCAAGAAAAAATCATTACCTTGGCCGAGTCTTTGAGATGTGCCATACTGGGATCATTGATGGGTTTTCCACTGGCAGCTTTGGTGGCATGAATAAGATCACCGAGAGCCGAGGCTACATCCTTCACGGCGTTTATCAACATAACCTGGGCCTCAGCATTCTGAGTTCCAAGACTGGCCGCTCCGTACTTGACAACTTCTGCCAGCTGTACAATCGTTGACACAGCATTCTGCGCAGCAACAGCGAGCTGTTCCTGAGAGGAAGCAGCCCCAGCCACAAGAGTCTTGGTATCTTCGACCAAAGCCTTGGCAGTCTTCAGTATATTCTCCCTGTGATCAGCAAAGGTGTCGCCCTCGTTTTCAGCATGAAGGGTCCCAGCTGTGGCAAACATGATAGTAGTGTCCAGATCACCAATAATCCCCGAGACAGTGCTAGCAGCATTGATGCATGCCTGAGTGCCCCTTGAACCAGCCTGAAGTGCCGAAAGTACTTCCGACACCTTCTCCGTAACGATCTTGCCACTCTCCGACACCTCCCTCTGGGTGTAAGCATCCCCAGGTGTCAGCTGACACACACCAGAAGCCCTGACTATATCTGCACATGCCCTGCCAAGGTCCTGCACTCCATTTCTCAACCTGGATGACACCTCAGGACTGGAAGCTGCTGCAGAGGCGCCAGTGCAGTCCCTCGCGAGTTGCGTGTATTTATGAGAAATATCAACAGCAAGAGGTCCAAGCCGTCCCACATCAGTACTGGACTTGGTCGACATCTCCTGAGCGAGTCTAGCTATCTCCTTGGCAGCCTCGACCATTCTCGTTTGATAATCAACGTAAGAGTCCACCGAGTCCGTCGAGATTCTCGTGTCATTCAACCTGATCATAGCTCTGCTGATAGTCTCAATGAGCCCCGTAACAACTCCATGAGACGTTGAAATCATCTCCAGAGTGCTGTCCAATTCACCCAAGGCGTCCTTAGTCCCCTCCACAGACTCATCAACTTCTGAGTGAAGAGCAATGGCCTCATGATTGCCCCCTGTCTCTTTAGCGACATAGACAAGCTGCAGAGCAGATTCAGCGACGGTCTTCGTCTGGTCCAAAAGGACAGACTGCTGTTTAGAGTTGACCATGTTGGAGGCTGCACCGATGGCACTGGTGACCAGTGGCTCATACGATCTAGCGAGCTGCTGAACACAAGGCCCAACGTTCTCAGGCTGATACTTGGCAGCTGTTCGTAGCAGCTCCAACTGCTCCCTCAACTCTCTCGTGTATCTCTCCATCTCTTCGATGAAACCTTCCTGCGAGTTCTCCCTACGTGGCATAAGAGACTGAGAGACTGCACTGAGAGTCGCCGAATCGAGCTCCCTTATCCTCGCTGTCAACTTTTCGATAGCTGTATCACACTCAGTCTGGCCAGGACTCTTCTCCCTAATCGATGATACCAGAGTCTTGATTGAGTCAGAGACAGTCTTGCTGTGTTGAGCAAGCCTCTGCCAAGCTGGCTCATCCTGTGGACTAGCCTGCAGACTCTTAGAGGTCTCGACAATTGCACATGCGCCATCTATAATCGCGCGTTCAGGCCCGGAAATGGTCTCCTGAGTGTGAATAACCGTTCTGATGTACTCGGTGCATCCAGCGAACTCACAGAGATTATCAACAGCCTCGAGCAGGGGTCGTGTAGCCTCCGAACACCTGTCGCGATTGACATCCGAGTAATCCTTGTCCAGTGCCTTGATCTCCTTAACGAGATTCGCTGTTGAATTGGCAACGTCCTTGGCAGACTGAACGTAATGTCTCTTAGCAACAGGATCATTCGTCTTACTCGATGCCTGTCTGCATGCGTTGCAGAGGGCGCTAGTGTGTTTCGCGATCATAGTAGCGGCTTCGAGAATCTGTTGCTTCGAGCTCTTCGTATCAGCGAGATTCTCACACCCCGCGTGAATCGCCTGCGCAGCTCTCGCGAATTGACTCTTATCAACAACAACCTCTTCCCCGACTTTTCGTCTCAATGTGTGAGTCGTTGCAACAGTCGTGGCAATTCTGAGCTCCTCAGCTGCTGTCTTCAGCTGCTCTTGCATTCGTGAATCGTGAGGACTTGACGCGCATTGTCGCGCAGCCTCGACCATCTTCGATGTGGCATCGGCGAGGGCTTTGGCAGCTGCCAAAAGCCGTCGATTAAGGTCGGGATCGGGTTGACGCTCTGCCTCGTCTTTTATCGATTGAATCAGATGCGCTGTCGCTTGACCGACAATGCGCGCCTGACGCACCATCTCCGGGGCATCTCCCGACGACGCGAATAGACGATCTGTTGCGCATATTATAGTCTCTACGGCGCCGTCCTGAGTTGTCTCTTTGGCTCGTTCACCGGTGCGCGTTGCTGTGCGAATGTGATTTAATAAATCGTTCAGGGTGCGAGAGACTTCAGCAGCTGCTGCCGACAGCTCCTTCAGGAGATTATCATCACTGCACGTCTCGTTACAAACGTCTACCAAATTCTCAACTGCTTTTGTCACTTCGCGAACTGCGTTCATCAGCTGGGTTTGACACGCTGGGGATTGGAGTGTCGGGGCAACAACTTTGGCACATGCAACGAGTTGTGATGTCGCGAGGGCGCACTGTGTCGCGGCGGAAATAACGCGATTCTGCGTTTGCGAGTCGTCGCAAGTTGCCGCGATGTTTCGCGCTTTTAGAACGAGTGCTGCTGTGGTATTGGCCACGGCTTTGGCCAGGGCCAGAAGCATGTCCTGGAGTTCGCGATTAGAGTCGTTCTCCTCACCGATGGTCGTGAGGACCTGGTGGGAGGCCTCGCCAACGCGAGATGCTGCGTTCAACAGGTTCTGCCGTGGCTGAAAGAGAAAGCAATTGTCGATTGTAGTTGGGGGAATTTTTAAGGGAGACACAGCGAGATTTGAAATTTATTAATGACGTGGTGGGAGAACCAATAATTTTTTGATGGATCCATCTAAGAAGAATTTAAAACAATTTAGGAGTGAAGTGGTTGCACGGCTCAAGTCGAATGTGAAATGAAAACGCGAATGTAACAGAATTGCAAAATTAATTGCCGTTCCGTTGTAATGAATTTTGCAAATTAATTAATCAATTTTATTTGATATTTGAACATTTCTTTATAGTAATAGTTTCACTTTTTCAAACTATTTATTTGTCAAAATTTGGCGACTTTACTCGAATTGCGTTTCACGCTCGAGAGTTAAATCAATTTATTTCTCTCGCTGTTTTTTCTTTTCAAATTATGCGCATAAAACCAAATCTTGAGGGCCGATTTCACCCGCTTTGCCCGTTCGCCATTAAATCATAAGTTTTTCATCTAAAAAATAAAAATGGTAGACGTATCCTGCAAAAACGAACCACAAACCCCTCATTTTTTCCTCGAACCTCCAAAAGATTACGAATTCAAGAAAACAGCAGTCAATAATCGATTGATTACTACAGCGAAAGTGACATTCTACCAGTGAATAAAAAATACAACTTGAACAATAAAAGAGCTGACTAAACACATGAGTAAGAAGCATATCAAGATCTCGAAACTCCTTACGTATCGTTCGTAAATGATGACAGCAACGCCGTAAGGCTGCATGAGAAAAATATTAAATATCCCTCAAATAGTGAATAATCAAGGGAACAAGTGATGTATCTTACCTCCTTGGTCTCGGGTTCAGTTGCTTTGAGAAGATCCGAGAATGCAGTGCACAATTTCCTAGCAGCATCTAACAAACGATCACCGGAGGTATCATCATCCATCAAGGCAGCAATCATCCGTACGCCCTTCGTCATCTCCGGTAAATTCGTGGCTATAGTGGATATAGCTTCACCCACCGCTGTATGATCAACTTCCTCAATTGATCCTGATGTTAATGTTACAACTTGGGCTGTTGCTGCATTCATCTCGGCAATTTGGGTACCAACATTTTGCTTGTGCGTTACCATTGTCTGAGCAATCCATTGGAGTGATGCTGGATCATTTCCCAGCTCAGGTAATTGGGCCTTAGACGTTAATTCAGTCTCGGCGATGTGAATTATTTCGTGGCCTGCGGTTATCGTTGACACAAGGGCTCTCTGAGGTTCACTCAGCACCGACGTGACTTTCGTCTGCTGTACCTGTCGTTTCAACAATAACGCACTCACTCCATCCATTGAGATCACCTTTTGAGGGGTGATTTTTTGATGACAGTGATGGCGCTGAGGATACGGGGGAGACCATTCGAGAGGCCGCAGCCGGCGGCAAAAAATTCTAACAGACTATTATGTATTCCGATTAAAATTCAAATTCCACTTTTAATTTTTTTCATTACAGACAACGTTTCAACAATAATTGACTCCTCAATTTTGTACCCTTACTTGGGGGAAAATTACTTTGAAATGAATATTTAATTTCTCCCCCGCATCTTCACCCATTACTCAACTCCAGTGTGATTTTGTATCCAGATAAAGCAAAACATCAACTTCAGAGTGAAATTCTGTTCGATAAACTCATTTGAGTGGTGAATATTGTGCGCCAAATAAAATAAAAAAGAGTGGATAAGAATAATGAAAATGAGATCTCCAGTTTGACCTTTGTACCTACATTTAGTCCACAATAGAAGGCGCCTAGCATGAAAACAGATCGAATTGGAAATTAGTCGACCACATCGACTTGGCAATATGAATTTAGAAATAAAAATCCTCCAATTTTTGCAAAAATGTCTACAAAATCAGGCGACACTCAATATCTCTAGAAGCTGGGGATGGGATCACTGGGGAACTGGGTACTCACCATTGGTGGTGCATGGGCGATGTTGACTTGACCACTAATTGTTGTGTATTGGGCGCTTGCCATGTGTCCATGTCCATAGGGTCTTGCTCCTAGAATTTATCATGCATTCTAAAGCTCTCATTTACAAATTTCATTAATAAATTATGTACAAAAGTCGCTCCATCCTGCATTTCAATTTGCACTGGAAGATCGATCACTCGACAAACGAGAAAAGCTCAAATTTTTATACACAAAACAAAAGAAAAATGTCAAAAAAATAAAATAAAATCGATTTCTCAAGATTACCCCAGCGCTCGATAACTCAAAAAAAAAAATGGTACGTTCGTGTATTTATAGAGAGGAGTGATTTTCCACAGGTAAGAATGCCTCCATTATTTCCGATAACCAGTCGTAAATATTCATGTGCTATAAATTCGATAAGACTTACCGTCTCCGCCGGCCCTCATAACAGCTGGAATGGCCACTGACACCGCCTCGACACTTCCCCTGCCAACATTGCTCGTTTCGTGCTGCATAATTGTCGCCCTGATCAACAAAATAATAATTCCCAATTATTGCCGACCGATGGAGTGGTAGAACGATAAATCCGGGGTTTCCCGGGATTAATAACGTTCCACCACTGAAAAATCTACTAATCAACTATCCAAACGAATCTAACTTCAAGTTCTTCAAATATTTAATCCTCTGGGCCCTTAAAAAGTCTTCCATCTCTGACACATGACAAAACTGTACGTAAACTGACGTGAAAAAAAGCGACACGAGCCGAGAAGATCTAACTGCTAACTCCTAACAATCCTAACAGCTCTAACGACCCCTACTCACTTGAGTGGTGATACGCTGTCCTCGACCATGGTTGATCCCTCGTCCCCCTCGATGCCAAAGTGATCCTTCGCCTTCTGTTTCTTCAGAATGATATCGATGTACCCAGCGATAAGCTGAAGTATCTGCTCAGCCTCAGTTGTTTGAACGCTGTAATACTGATCCGAGTAATCACCAAAGTCCAGTGTAAATGTATTAGGAGATGCTCCCCACCTCCTGACAGTGGTCAAAGGCCACGTCTTGAGTATCTCCTTTGTGCGTTCATCGAGCCTAAGGACCGAGTCCTTGGTGACACCGAGAAGCCGTGGTACAAGTTTGTTCTTGCCAATCATCTTCTCTTTGACGAGAAAGAACGTTACACCATAAGTACTCAATGATCTTGCAGTTTTGGTGTAGAGAACCTTGGCGTCTAGCTCCGAGAGTCCCACGTGCTTCTTGTGCTCAGCGAATACCTTCTTCTCGATACCCTTTACTTTGACATACGACTGGGGAAGGAATTCCTTGAGATCGAGAAAGCCAGTCTTATGTTTGTCCTCTTTGTGATCACCGAATTGTATTTGACACTGAATTCCAGCGAATGTGCAGGCCTTCTCCTGGGTGACAGGATGGGTTCCATCGAGTATCGCGTCCCTAGCTTGAACATACAGCAGAGATAGCTGCACCGGATCCCGGGAGTCGATATTCTGATCCGAGAAGAAGTATTTTCGTCGAAGGAGAACTGTCTCTGCCTCGTCTATTCCCTGTTCCCTCAGGGTCTTGCTTGGATCTATCCAATTTACCTCGTCATCCGTCTTCAGCTTCTTTCTCAGCTGATCCATTTTGGCGTCTCGCTCTCCTTTCTCTTCCTTTCGACGCTTCAGGGTCAGGGTACCATAGTTACCTGGCTTCTGATTTTCTGTCTCTTCGTCCATGTACTCGCGCACTAGCGAGTACTCGTCGTGATTCGTTATACCGATCTTTGTGCAGATCACCACCATCAGATTTGCCACTGGCTGGCTGTCGTCTACTAGGAGAGTTTTTAGGGTACCGTCCAGCATTCTAACCCGCAGAGTTCGCAGTTTACGTCGGTACTCCAGGAGGTCACCGTTACGGAGGATGTAGTAGTCTAGGTTTCTACCCGGCTCCAACCACACACCCTTTTTTGCGTCCTCGTCCGAGAGGAATAGACCGTAATCTTTCGCTGGAATATCAAGTATTTCTATTCATCATTTCCATCGGTGGAAAGGTACACTTGCAATTTTTAATAACGAGAACGAACGCGCGCTACTGCGCGCTGTAATTATTAAAATCCTCATTAAAAATTGTTAATTTAAATGAGTTCAAATTCAAATTAACCGCCTCAGACGACTGAACCAATGAGGAATAAGCGTGACAGACTTTCGAGATATCGATAGTCTCGACGTTTGTCCTTTTTAGAATAGGAGGATAGGATTCTGGATTGGCGAATCATTTAGTTTCTGATTATTCGCAATTTTCACAATTAAAATCAGGATAAACATTCGACGGGCTGTTTTGCAAAATTAATAAATCACGATCCACCTTTATGTTAACGGATTCCATTAATTCCATTGTTAAGAGTCCTGTACTTATATTTTTACTCAATTTTTCCGATGCATTTATGACAATTTCCCTCTTAATATTTGTGAGCTTCTCCTGGATTTACCTTACTATTGACTTTATTTAGATCTTAATTCTTGATGAACTTTTCATTTTTTTGTGTATCACTTTACGATGGGTTTCGTCTTCCATTTTGTACAACATAACATACAGTAATAAACTCCAATCAATCAATCAATTATTCACAAAAAAGAAGATTCTTGACAAAATTCCCATAATATCGAATATCAATTTCTTATTCTTTTAATTTTAATTTAATTAAATTTTTTATTTTATTTTATATTTTATAAAATATTTTATTTTTTTTAGATATTTTTTAAAATTTTTTTATTCTTCTTTAATTCTGTCTTCAGTGTTATAAATTCTCAAAAAAACAACAGAATCCATTTTTTTAAAGAATACATTTGTACTCACGTTGTCCCATATTCGTCGCCTCTGGCAATTTTTCGCGGATAATTCTGCACGCATCGTACACCGATGTGCTAGGATCAAACTGCATCATTTTGGTCGCATTTTTCTCCGGTATGGAGATGCGGAGTGACAGCGTTGCCATTGCAATTGCTGACGGCGATCTTCTGCGTGTGCGAAAACCCCCAGAGTCGCTTGACTGCAACAGAAATAACATTTTTTATAAAAACAATTACAATAAAAAAATTCAAACACTCCAACACCTCTGTCTGCATCATTTTCCAGTCATTTTGTTTAAAACTTCACGGCTATCATCTGTCAATCCTTCTTTGATTCTCTAATTAATTATCTATTATTATCATTAGTATTTATTTGTAATAATTATTCCTTTGAGGTAATAAATAATGGGTGAGGGGTTTTATTTGGGTTTTAAACGATTTTTAGAAATGTTTTATAATATTTAATGGATTAAAATTAAAGAAAACCAATGGCTCCTCATGACAATCTCTATATCGATCCCAACTTGTATCCTCTTTGTATCTCAGCTCTCCCAGTGGTCCATTTTGTCGTTGTATTGGATTTGCCCACGGGTCAGTTACTCTTCCTCACATTTTTTGCAGCTGTGTTGGTACATCGAGTAGAAAAAAAAAAGGTAAGATAGATAGATAGTTGAAACTGTCAATGGGCTTCAGGGACGTGAGTCCACGGGCATGGGGTCGACGGACTAATAAAAATAAATTGCTCCTTCTCCGCCTACTAATTAAGTCGTTTAACCCACCCTCTCTATTTTTTTCATCTTCCTTCGGATGTATTTTCGATTCGAGATAAACAATTTGTATGCGCGGCACGTGCCAGTGGGTAAGGGCACTTTCATTATCACTCGGATCGAGAAAAAATTAGGGGAAATTAGGAAAATTAACGTCGGGGTGATTTTATTATCAAATTCAAGTCCCAGGAGAAGATTTGGAGACTGGAAAAAAATAGCCAATACCTGAAATCGTTTTTGTGAGGCAAAAAATTGTATTGATTTTTTTTTAATGGGTTGTGTGATAAAAAAATGGATATTAATTAAATAGTTTATGAATTTTTAAGAGTAATTCTATTTGGATTTGCATGAATATCAATAATTTTTTATTAGAATCGCTTGAATTTCCCCTTCCTTTAGAATTTTCCGTTTTTTTTATGATAGTTTTCATTATGTTATTTTGTAACATTTTTTTTTGTAAATATTTCGCAAATAAAAATTAATAAGAACGAATAAAAAAGAAAAGAATAAAAATTTCGTCTCATTATTGCAATATTTTTGTATCAGTGAATATACTTCCGAAAAAATTAGGATTTTCACCAAAAATCATGATGACTTTTTCCAGAAATTGTTATAAATTTAGTTTATTTAGTTTAATTTAATTAATTCAATATAAATGAAAGCGTTAATAATTTGCGACTTGCCATCGACCCTGACTATAAAAAATGAAAAAGACATTTTCAAAAAAAACACCGCCATCCCACAATTCTAGTGTGATTCCCCTTTTTCCTTCGCCGTCGCGATTTGGCGTTTGAAAAAAAAGGGCTACAATTATACGACTTTTTGCAACAAAAAGAAAATAATTGCGAGCATTTAATACTTTCGAGGGTTGAAAAAAAAAATTGGCCAATTACATTGGAATTCTTGGGGTCGTTGACACTGAAAACAAAATGAGGTACACCGGTGGGAGTGGGTGGTTCTGACAGGGGCTATCGGGAGGCATAAATTCGTTGCAAGTATCCACGCCAATGGAGATATACTCTTCCACCCTTAAGGTTGCCTGGCAACCCTGGCCTCTCACTGTGTCAAACTCAAGCACAACCCACCCCTTCCTCCCAACCCCTGCCCATTTCTTTTTTATCCCCACTGTATCTCACTTCTCACCTTGCCAATCGATTCGTCTCACCTAATTTTCTCCTCCATTCTCTCAGAATTATTGATATTCAAAATCGAAATTCTCCAAAGGAACAGAAGAAATTGAATTCCCAAAAATTCAAGACCTGAGAAGAATTTTTTTATAAAACGAAATTGTTTATCGTTTTAGTTATTTTCGGGGTTCAATTGAGGAATTAAAAATGAGGAGAAATTAATTGCTGATTGGATTTAACGAAATTTTAAAGGGGGAGGGATAAAGATTGACTGTATGAAAATTTGTTGATAATTATTTGATGTTTTGACTTTAAATCAAAATTTTATTTCGGGGAATATCTATTAGATAATAAATGAATAAATAAACCCGGAAATTCTATGAAACACTTTATAAAATATTTTATAAAATATTTCATGAAAATAAAAAACAGAAAAACAATTTTATGACCCAAAAGAAAATTTCAGCGAATATTTACGATTAAAT